CACATTTCCCGGTGAGTACTGTCTTGTTTCGTGCCACGCCGATGGGAACAACTTTCCAGGTGTTCCGTTCTTCCAATGCTTTCAGCTCCTTGTCCATGGCTTCGCGCCATTTTTCCCTATGCTCCCCCCCCACAGCCTGCTGAACCGTGGCAGGCTCCTTAGGAATGGCTGTGCCGTGAACCGTGGTGACGAGGCCGAGTATATGGAGTCCACTCTGTGTGTAGCGGGGGAGTGTTGTGTCCTCGGGATGGACTGCTTCATCTCCCGCTTCTAGTGTAGGATTGAAATTTGGTCCTACGCGTTCTGCTTCGTCGGTGTTGACCTGTGCAGGTGTAACGTAACCGTTGTCGGCGAAGTGGTAGTAGACTTCGGCGTTGATGCTGTCACGTGGATTTTCGTCGTCCATCGGGACATCAACCGAGCAGTAGGGAAGAGGTCCGACTTCCTCCGAGGCTCCTTCCACGTTCTGCTCGTCCCAGTCAGCTTCATCTTCTGCCGAGGCGAAGGCTTGGGTGCCAAGAAATCCGCCCGAGAGGTCTGGGTTGTTTTCTCTCACGTTGGCAAGGTATGTTCGAAGGGTGAGGTTTTCGTAGAAGATGACATCACGTGCTGCTACTGTTTCCTTTGTGTCGACGTCGAAAATCTTCCATGCGCTGTAGTGTTTTTCAATGCCCAGGTGTAGTCCCCACTGTGCGCGTTGAGAGAATCGGCCGGCTCGTGCAGATGCGGGTCGGTACTGTACCATGCAGCCGAAAACTCTTAACATTTTTGTGCTGCCCAGTTTTCTTGTCCACAGTAGATGCGGTGATGCGTTGTTCGGGAGCGATGATGACGAGAGCAAGTTGTGCAGCATCACAGCGTGGTCCATTGCTTCGGGCCACTGGTGGTTGGGCAAGTGCATGCCACGTAGCAGCTTGCGCATGGTGTTCTGGAGGGTCCTGTTCATCCTTTCTGCTACACCTTGCTGCTGATGGGCGTAGGGAAGGGAGATGAGCCGCTTGATTCCTCTCTCTGCCAAGTACTGCTTGAACCTCTGTGAGGTGTATTCTCCTCCTCCGTCTGACTGGAAGCTTTTGAGTTTCACGCCTGATTCTCGTTCCACCACTGGAAGCCAGGCGGCAAAAGCTTCGAAGGCCATATCCTTGCTTGGAAGGTTGAGGTGCCAAACGTAGCGTGTGGCTGCGTCGATGAACGTGATGGTGTAATTGTATGCGTTCTGCCCGGGTTCGCGATTGTACAGTATGTCGCTGTACACCTTTTCCAGAGGTGCGTATGCAGGTGCACTTGGATTGTGATGCGAAAAGAACGGCTAGTGCGGAAAGTCGGCTTCTGGACAGGTGAAGCACGTTCCGCGGACTCGCTGAAGTTCTCTGCCGTCGGTTAGTAGTAGTGAGTCTTTGTCGAGCACGCCTGCTCTTATCGTGTTGTTTAACACTGTGTTGCTTGGATGTCCTATTCTTGCGTGCCAGGTTCCTTCGGTGGCGCGATGTCCGGGTGAGCGCCGATATAGGTCGGAGGTGGAGTAAAAGCTGGCGGTGAAGTTGGCGCTTCGATGGACTTCCCGTTGAGTTGGGTTCAGCTGCTGCGCAGGAGTTGGTGAAGTGTTGTCGATGAGGATCGGTGCCGTTGAAGAACCAGCGATTGGTGTTGATGTTGCCGCTGCTGCTGCCATTGTAGTTTCTGCTGCTGCCGGTGTTGTCTCTGCTGCTGCCGATGTTGTCTCTGCTGTTGCCGATGTTGTCTCTGCTGCTGCCGAGTGTTGAATTGTTGCTAACGCTCTTGTTCGTTCTGCCTCAGGAATGGTGTGCGAGTACCAGAAGCCTTCGGGACTGAAGTCGGGATCGAGATCCGGTGGATGTGTCCAGGAGGTGAAGGTGACAATCCCGTCGCTGTCAGCGGTGCCAAGATCTGGGACGAAGTCGAGGACGAAGACGTTATTTCTCATGACCGCCTTCCCGATGTAGAGACCACCCTTTCCGTGGTATAACTTGAACTCCTGAGTGGTGCTGTCTGCTTCGAGGTCTATGCCCTTCGCCATCAGTTGACTAACGCTTAGTAAGTTGTAGCCGAGTCCCTCTGCAATTAATACTTTTGACATCTGTAATATGACGTTTGTCTCTCGTGACTGAAGTTGCACCACACCTTGTCGTCGTGTGCGCAGGTTCTGGTTGTTGGCGACGGTGATGACGACTTCCCGCTGAAGTTGATATTCCCGTTGAACGAAGCGACCGGAAGAGCACATCTGTTGTCCGCAGCAACTGTCCAAGAACCAGGTATCCTTCCCAGACGGTTCACTTTGGGCGATGGCTGCATACGTTGGGTTCGGTTGCAGTGACTCGCGACGTGGAGTCCTTTCGTCAAGTTGTTCTTCTGGTGAGTAGTGCGGCGGGGATTCGGTGATGCAGGAGTCGGTCAATCTTGCCATGCAGCTGACGATGTTCCTTGTTCCTTGTGTAGGTTGTCCTGTCGACGTTGTTGACGTTTGCACTTGAGTGGTGGGATTTGCTTGCGTTGAGGCGACTTGACTGCTTGAAGGTCGAAGCTGCCGTTGCGTTGGTGCTGACTGCTGCCTATTGGGGCACTGTGTGCGGGGATGACCTGACGTCTTGCAAAGATGACAGAACGGAGGTACAGGTTTTGGTTGATGCCGGTTGTTGTTGTTGTAGCGCAGTTGGGTGTGAAATGCAAATTCAGGTACTGACGTTTTCCTCTTGTGTCGCTCCTCTTGCAGGTCCATGTCTTGCTGTTCAGCGTGGATTTCGGCGCATAGTGCTGCTTCGGAGATCTTCCCGTGAGCTCGGAGTATGGCGCGAGTGGAGCGCCAATGAGGACCAAGACCGCCAATGACGACTGTGACAAAGGCGTCTTCTGATATCGACCCTCCACATCGAATGAGTTTGTCGCGCAATTCGCGACAGCGGCTGATATACGCCATCCATTTTTTCGCTCGGTTTCATTTCCACTGTTGTCAGTTGTGCCATTAACTGACTCTGATTGACGCTGTCTGTTGCCTGATACAGGTTCTTCAGGTGGTTGTACGCGAGCTCGGCGGAGTTTCCGTAGCCTCGGTAAGACCGAATGTTCTGCTGCTGGTTCGGTGTGACGTTGCGTAGTAGGATTGTATACGCCATCATGGACTGATATGTATACTGCTGCTTGTCGTATTGCGTCCCGTGTGTTGGGTATGGCAGGGACCCGTCGAAGAAGCCAAGAATCTGCGCGCCTTCCATCATCAGCTCGAATTCGAATGACCAGGTAAAGAAGTCCTTTCCATCGAACGGTCTTGACGTCTGCAGTTTTAAGACGTGTGCAATCTGCGACTGAACTTGAAGTGCATCTAGTGTCTTCTCTTGCTCAGGTGAAGGCTGCTGGCGCGGCATGAAGCTGATGGAACCACGCTGAGGTTCGTACGGGGCGAAGGTAGGTTGTTGTTGCTGATTTCCTCGTGCGTAGGATGAACCGTCGAGGCTCATCGGTGTTGCGTTGTTGTTGTTGCTGTTGTTTGACTGCGTAGGTGCCCCTTGCTGGTGTTGTTCGTAGAAGGACATGAAGGAGAAGAATTTCTCCATCATGTCTGGGTCGAAGGCCGCGGCTTGATTTGCAGGAGTTTCGGTAGACCCAGCTGCTGGTCTTGTTGCTGTGCCCTCCTCTGTCTGTAGGCCAGAGGCAGGAGGTGGAGTAGGAGTAGTACCGGGAGAGTCGTTAGAGGAGCTTCTCTCCTTCTGCGTTGCCATGCCTCGTGATGTTGTAGGTGTCTTGATTGTAGTTGAATTTGTCCTGATCGCTCTCATACCATGTTGGGCTGAGAAAGGCCCTTAGGATCTTTGCAGGACTAAATTCTGAGTAGGATAATGTAATAGCGGAAGCGTTTTAATGAAGTACTTGAACCACCTTGCGCTAGTATGTGAGGGCAAAGTAGATTGATTCAAACAAAGGGATACAAGCTTTTATAAGAGTACAAGAGAATATGAAGGGTTATAACTAATAACCGTTTTGCTGTTGCTGTTGCGGTTCGATACAGTGACGACTCGGGCAACTGCTCAATAACGAGTCAGTTGTTTGTCCTTGCTGTCGCACTGTATTTGTCAGGTCAAAGGTCGCTGACCTTTTGATTTTCGCGTAACCTCCAGCAGTTGCTCAACCTCCGAGGGTTGACTCGCCGATGCTTCGATATGTTCTGCTTCGCTTATGATTTAGTGTTTAGACACGACAGAGGCGCTTAAGTCAATTGTTTCCAACAACAAGAAGGGCAAGCATCAGGAGGAGATAGATGTAGATGACGAGGAGGAGCCAGTAGGAGATGCGTTAGAGTGTTCTAGTGATGAAGATGATGAAATGAGCTGCTAAGACCATGTTGTGGTGCCTTGTTTGTTTGGCCTGCTGAATTTAATGAACAAAAAAAACGTTAGCATTGCTCAGCCTTAAATTGTTAGTGAAGCTGATTAGTAAGCGTTTTTTTAAAGGACAACACTAAAATTTCAGTTTTTTTTTTCGGATACGACACTGATTCATCAGCCTAGCATCAGCCTCGGCAAAAACGAATCTGAGGCCCTTCTTGCGACTATGTACAACAAATATCGCCGCGTAACTCGCAAGAAAAAGCGCATTGTGGGTGAAGAGCAGCGGGTGAGTTTTACCCTGGGTCAAGGAGAGGCAGGCGGTACTGCAGGCTGATTGGCGAGGGCAAGTTGATTCTTGGATTGCTTTGCGACGTCTGAGGAGTGTAGTGAGAATCAGTGTGCAATGCAGAGGGAGCGGCAGGTGTATGTAATATACGCTGGGTCAAGGAGGGGTAGGCGGTGCTGCAGGCTGTTGGGCGAGGCAGGTTGCTCCTCGATTGAATGCGAGTGAGCGTGAAATGCGGCACCTACCACCACCCTGCATCACCTGCCACCACCCTGCATCACCTACCACCACCCTGCATCACCTACCACCACCCTGCATCACCTACCACCACCCTGCATCATGCAGGGAGGGGCAGCAGGCTGGTGCACAGGGGTCTAACCCGGGTCGAGAAGAGGCAGGCGGTACTGTAGGCTGATTGGGGAGGCGGCATATTGGAAGATCATGAGCAGACACGCCTCGTTGGGTGCCACTCCTGCTCACAGAGATGGAGGGAGAGGTGGGTGAGGGTTTATAAGGGTGATGGTTCATGGCAACTGGATGGCATTATGGAAGTACCGTGGAGCAGACATGCCTCGTTGGGTGCCACCCCTGCTCACACGCAATGAGGGGAAGGCATGGGGTAATGGGTATGGCAGGCGGTTGATGGCATGATGGCAGAAATTTGAAGCACTGGGGAAAGGACCAGACGGATTGTCAGGTAGCAGCACAGCAAATCAGGTCCTTAAAGCACAGGCTTGGCAAATCAGGTCCTTAAAGCACAGGCTTGGCAAATCAGGTCCTTAAAGCACAGGCTTGGCAAATCAGGTCCTTTATGCACGGGCTTGACAAAACATGTCTTAAAGCACTGGCTTGCTGCAGGCGTGTGTGGGAGGGAGCATGCTGCAGAGTACACACAGGTGAACATGAAAGCATGCAGGTGTTTGAAAAGAGAAATGGACGTTCAGGGATAAAAAAGAAAACGGGGAGAAACAAGATGGATAAAAAAGGTGGGAAACACTTGACGGCATGCACTCACCGCAATAGGAGGCGTCTGGTCGGGTGAGGTAACACTGCAGACTGCGGGCCAGGTGCTTCACACTCACTGACTGCTCAGGGGGGGTAGAGGTGTGAGAGGGATGGGGCAGGGGTGGGAGGGAAGGGAGTGAGCAACGGATGGGCCAAGGATGGCAGCGGGGTGAGGTGCGTCAAACTCACTGAGGGCGAGGTGAAGACCGAGAAGAAACGCGAGGGACGAGAAAATGGAAATTTTGAGAGATTTAGATGCAAGCCACGACTATAGCATCGCCTGTAGCTTGCATCTGCCTCACCACGACTGTAGCATCGCCTGTAGCTTGCATCTGCCTCACCACGACTGTAGCATCGCCTGTAGCTTGCATCTGCCTCACCACGACTGTAGCATCGCCTGTAGCTTGCATCTGCCTCACCACGACTGTAGCATCGCCTGTAGCTTGCATCTGCCTCACCACGACTGTAGCATCGCCTGTAGCTTGCATCTGCCTCACCACGACTGTAGCATCGCCTGTAGCTTGCATCTGCCTCACCACGACTGTAGCATCGTCTGTAGCTTGCATCTGCCTCACCACGACTGTAGCATCGCCTGTAGCTTGCATCTGCCTCACCACGACTGTAGCATCGCCTGTAGCTTGCATCTGCCTCACCACGACTGTAGCATCGCCTGTAGCTTGCATCTGCCTCACCACGACTGTAGCATCGCCTGTAGCTTGCATCTGCCTCACCACGACTGTAGCATCGCCTGTAGCTTGCATCTGCCTGAGCCACGTGGACAGCCCCGATATGTCAGCATCGTCGTCTGTGCCCCCCCTTTGCCTGCTGCCCTCCCCCACCCCGGCCCCACTCTGCTGGCTCTCTGCTCCGTGGAAAACGTGTGGCAAGGGGTGAAGAGGGGTGGAAAAAGGTGGAGTGGGATGGAGATGGGTGAAGCGGGGGAAAGAGAGCAAAGGGGATCAGTGGAAGAGAGGGTAGGAGGAGAAAGTCCAACACCGCTGCACCTGAGTTGGCTCCGAACACTTTGAGGTTTTTGAACTGCCCGGCGAGTACAGAGACGCCTCAACAATCATCTGGTTTAACCCCCAACAAAACAAACCCAGGGTGTGCTTTACCTGTGTAAGCGCCAAAAACTCAGAGGTTCTTGAACTGGGCGGCGACAGTGGTGCAGGGCGTGTGGTGTGGGTGCGCATGGCGAGTACCGAGAGTCTGAGATGGCTGACAAGTCACCTGAATTAGCCCCGAAGACTTTAAGGTTCTTGAACTGGGCAGCAACGGTGATGGAGGGCGTGTGGGTGCGCATGGCGAGCGCACCGCTCCTCATCGTCGCCACGTCAGCCATGTCCCCCACACTCTGTAGTCGCTCCACCAGGTGCCGCAGCGAGGGCAGATCTGGCAGCTGCACCAGGGTCTGAAGGAGGGGGAAACAAGGGGAGGGCCCGAGGGGGGTTTTACTCAGCCACGCCAACCACACTCTGCAGGCGCTCCACCAGGGGGCGCAGCGGGGGCAGATCTGGTAACTGCACTAGCGTCTGGAAGAAGAGAGAGGGGACAATTGGCACGCCAGCCACGTCGCGCACACTCTGTAGGCGCTCCACCAGGTGGGGTGGCGCAAGGACGGCAAATCCGGCAGCTGCACCAGGGTCTGGGCAAGGGGGGCGTTTGGGGTGGATGGAGCAAGTACATGGGACGGCTTCACTTGCCACGTCGCCCACACTCTGCAGTCGCTCAACCAGCTGCCGCAGGGGTCAGGCAGCTGCACCAGGGTCTGACCAGGAGAGGGGAAGAGGAGAAAGGCGAGGGAAGGGAGAGGAGAAAGGCGAGGGAAGGGAGAGGAGGAAGGCGAGGGAAGGGAGAGGAGGAAGGCGAGGGAGACAAGGTCGATGCCCCATGGGGTCAACAGGGGTCAACGAGAGTCAGCATGCGCCTCACCTCTCAGGCATCGAGTGCACAAGGTCGATGCCAGCTCAGCATGCAGTCAGAAGAAGTCAACGCAAGTCAACTCAGGCCTCACCAGAGTCAATTCAAGCCTGCAGTCAGCCTCACCTCTGGCAGCGACTGCATGAGGTCGATGCCAGCCTGCATTCAACAAAAGTCAACGCAAGTCAATTCAGGCCTTACCACTCAACATACTCTTCACCTCAGGCAGCGAGTGCACGAGGTCGATGCCAGCCTGCAGCTCGTTGAGCTGCGAGCGAGGCAGCGGCGTCGAGATGGGTATGTCCTGCACTATGCTCGACCGCTCGCCCTGTGGGGAGAAGAGGAGGTGGGGGAGGGGGGAAGCGGGACACGAGGAAACAGACTTAAGGTCCTGCACACGGCTAACTGCTGCTCACACGGCGTCGAGATGGGGATGTCCTGCACTATGCTCGCCCTTGGGGGGGGAGGAGGATGCATGAGCCATGACAGGTGGTGGGGGCGGACAAGGGGGAAATTAAGTGCAGGGGAGGGGATGTGAGTGGGGAGCAGCAGAAGGGCAGAGGGGCAAGCTGCCATTACTGAGAAGGTGAAGGGTGGTGTGTGGCAGCGGTTGAAATGTGGCACTAGACAGGCACATGCTTGCCACGCACCTTGTCACCCACCTTGCCACCCACCTTGCCACCCACCTTGCCACCCACCTTGCCACCCACCTTGCCACCCACCTTGCCACCCACCTTGCCACCCACTTGAAGCCCTTACCACCCACCTAGCCGCCCGCTTGAACCCCTTGGCACCCACCTTGCCGCCCACTTGAACCCCTTGCCACCCACCTTGGCCTCCAGAGACAGGAAAGGCAGCGCAGGAGCAGTGGGATTGGTGCTCTTCTTGACAAGCTTCAGCTGGTGGCGCGTGGCGGCGGTGGCGAGGGAGGAGCGCAGGGCACGGGCGAGCAGCGAGAGGTCGAGCGAGAAGGCGATGCGATCCGCGCTGGCGCTGCTGATGAGGTGCTCCGAGAATAGCTCGGCCTGAGGGGTAGGGGGAGGGCGGATGGGGTACGGGGGAAAGAAGAACAAGAGGACATGTGAGCAAGAAATCACATGCTTCCAAAACAGCCCGCCTTGGATGGGACGGGATGGGGGACGAGAGGAGGAGGGAATGTGTGTGAGGAGGAGAAAAGGAAAATCAAGGAAGGGAAAGAGGAAAGTGGGAGGGCGAGGGCGAGCAGTGAGAGGTTGAGAGAAAAGGGGATGTGATCCGCACAGCCACTGCTGATGAGGTGCTCTGAGAATAGCTCGGGGGGAAGGGGGGGAGGGAGAGAGAGAGAGGGGGGGCGCAGATGGACGACAGGAGGGGGAAAGGGAGCCTGTAAGGCGCTGCTGATGAAGTGCTCTGGGAAAAGCTCGCCCTGAGGGGGGAAATCGGGAAGGAGGACAGGAGGACAGGGCCTTGGATTAGATGTGTGGGGACAAGATAGAATGAAGGGCGTGTGCGGAAGCGAGACATGAATCTGCTGGAAAGAATAAAGGACGCGGGGGCGTGTGAGCAATGGAAGCGATTTCCGTAAGTAACTGCTTCTGTTGAAGAGCGATGTGTATGAGCGAGCGGTGGACGTTACAGTTGGGAACTGCATGTCATGGGTTGTGTTGTGTCTTATCTTCGCGACGTACTACCGTTCAGCTATTAACTCAAGCCCATCTTACAGTGGGGAACTGCGCGATGGCCTGCACGCCTTACAGAGGGGAACTGTGCGATGGCCTGCACGCCTTACAGTGGGGAACTGCGCGATGGCCTGCACGCCATCAGCAGAGAGCACGTTGTGAAGGAGGAAGACGTCAGATGGCGTGAGGTACACGTGGCACACCCGCCCTATGCGCTCAAAGGCAGGCAGGAATCCTTCAGGAGGGGCATGGGTAAGGGGGGAAGGGCGGGGGGGAGGGGGAGGGGGGGGGGGGGTTGGACGGGTGGTGGTTGGGTTGGCGCCATAAAAGTGTGTGTATTCGTGGGTTACAGGTGCCGGCAATGAAGATTCCAGGGCGTGAGGTGCACGTGGCACACCCCCTGTATGCTCAAACGCCAGCAGAAACACTGCAGGGGGGTCGTGGGGATGGGGGGGTGGCATGGCGGGCGGGTGGGTGGTGGCATGGGTTGGACCGTGGAGCTGTGGGATCAAAATATCATATACACGCGTTGGCTCCCTGCCGCTGCCACGGCGTGAGGTGCACGTGGCACACGCGCCCAACACGCTCGACGGTGACGGGAAGCAGGGGGTGGCATGGCGGGTAGTTGCAATGTTACGGGCATTCGAGTCCATAAAAGATGCTGCTTGGGTGTGGTACAGGCCTATACGGGCGTGCCTTGCCTGCCTGCTCTAAGGCCGGTATGTGGCCTGCAGGTCAGGGAGCGGGGTGGTGGTGGGGGAATGATGACATGGGAGTGAGTGATGGCTCGAGGTGAATGCACGGATCAGTGGAGAAATGGTGCGCATTGGGAACGGAAACAGGCATAGATCAAATTAAAGTGATTCCAGTGTAGCGCACAGCTTTATATAAGCCGGCCATTGTGCGCATGAAAGGGGAACAGGCGCAGAAAGCCATGGGGTGATCACGTTGAGGCATGATGGCATGGATGGGATGGTTGCATTGCATGGATGGGATTATGGCATGGTATGACGAAAGAGGCATGCAAGGAAGCGGTCGGCGCTGAATATTGCACTGCTTCGTGGTGAAGAGAGAGAAGAGAATCACAGAACATGTGACCCAGGACATCGAGGCTGCGCTACCTAGCGCCATCCAGGGTCGAAAGCATAGCAGGAGCAAAACGCACGCGATAGATCGAAATAGAAAGGAATTATCAAGCGAGCAGACATGGAAGGGAGGAAGGAGGTGACGTCAAAGGCGGGCTTACGTTGCTCGAGGAGCGTCACTCCGTCCGTCGTGAGAATCGCCTTGAACCGCATGCTGTACGCTCTGCTGTGTGCTCTGCTATATGCTCTGCTAAATGCTCTGCTGTATGCTTTGCTATATGCTCTGCTGTACGCTCTGATGTATCCTCTGGCCTATGCGCTAACGCCTCAATAGGAAAAACCGTAAGAAGCTCTTATACTGCTCGCTGATTTATTCTTAGCCCTTCGCCTATCCGGCTGCTGGAGAATCCGATCTTTCCAGCGGTGCAACAGTCCGTGACACTGGCCCGTGAAGCCCGCTCGTTGCGGTTAGATTCTCATAAGTGACTCATTGCGATCTGTACAACGATGACGTCATCTTCACCTCTGACGATTCGGGATCCATGATAAAACTAACTGCACAACTAAAAAGACGACGACAAGGCTGAGGTGTGCGCTACGCCTTTGGTTGCCTAATGGCATGACGCGCTTTGGCAGCGCAATCGTCGGAGCGATTTAATAGCTGGCCCTTCACAGGGAAGCAATGGCGTGGTGACGATCTCACAGCACAGCAGCCACATTGTGGTCTTATAGTAGGCTTATAGGCAGGTGTTGTACAATATGAAAAGCTTAGATGCGTTTGAAAGCGGTGAAGGATGATGCTGGATCGTTGCAGAAACTGGATTTGTTTTCTGTGGCAGCGTGTCCGTGACGCCAGATGGTAGCAGCAAGCTATGGGCCTTGGCATCCCGTGGGCCTAGAAGTTTGTTTTCCCCAAAACATACTCGTGTACTTGCGGCGGGAATTGTAAATGTTTGCAGACTTGTTACACGCGAATCAGCTCCCGAAAGTTCCAACGGATCCCTCATTGAAAGTGGGACTGGTGACGGAAAAATACTCCAGGGTCGTCGCGAAATCCCAAGAGTGCGGCTCAATCTTAAAGCTGCGGTCTACATACTTGGAGCGGTGAGGGAAGGATTATCACTTGAAAACAGGGTAACTTTGTCCCTCCAAGGACCCCCTGCGGAGAAACGAACAATCGAGGGGGGAGGAGGGGGGGGCCTGGGGGTTCAGGTTAGAACTTGACCCACTCTGTTTGAGTTTGTATACCAAAACTCTGGTGATCATGAGAGCCAGACTTCACTCGACAACCAGCTTCCAATACGTAGTTTACAGATATTAGTCGCCAATGAAAACCAGCGACGCCCATCCCTACCACTGCGTTCTAGCGACTCCGTCCGCATTGGCCGCCAACCACTTGCTGTTTCGTGCTCTCAAATCCCCCTTTCTTCTCCGCGCTCTCTGCCGCATTTTCCCAACGCAATCCGTCGCCTTCTGCTCTGCGCTCATCGCCGCGTTCTGCTTGCCTCGTCGCCTCGCTGCGTACCCGTCGTCCTCCCTGCTTTCAGCGTCGCCGCGGGCTGCCGCGCTTAGGGTTGGGGCTTTCGTAAAGTCGCTTTTGCCTCTTCGCTCTGGCCTCGTCGCTTTCTCCTCGTCGCTTTCGCCACATCGCTTTCGCCTCGTCAACAACTCTTCGTCGCGGTTGCCTCTACGCTTTTGCCTCGTCGCTTTCTCCTCGTCGCTTTCGCCTCGTTGCTTTCGCTTGCAACAAGGCGGTGATCTCATCGTTTTCAGCTCCCCGATATCCGCCTCTCCGCTCCTCGTCGCTGGCCGATCGTAGCGCCATTCAAGTCACCGTTCATCGCCATGTTAATTTTATTCCTCGTCTAATCCTCGCGCGTTTCTCTTTGTCGCGTTCCGCGTCGCCTTCCGCCCGCGGCTCGAAGCGCGACTCACGCCGCTAGTCGGCTGGTGTCGCAGCTTCCACTCTGCCTCAGTCGTCGCAGAACCGGCGTTGCTCGTTGCTCATTGCTCGATGCGAGTCGCTTTCTGCTGTCACACTTACCTTCCCTCACTCCCATACCTCCCTCCCTCTCCGCAGGCAAGATCCCCGCTCTCCTACTGCTGTCCTGAATTGAGTAGCGGGTAAAACGTTTCCGGGAACCGGAATTTGCGGCGAGGAGGCGTGAGGCGCAGACGGGAATGAGCAGCGATACCGCGGAGGTGCGAGGGGGATGGGAGCGAGAAAGCGAGAGGGGGTAGCAATTTGAGAGGGAGGTTAGCAGCGAGAACGAGGGGTGAGGGGGGGAAGGAGGGAATAAGCAGCGAGGAGGGGGGGAAGGAGGGAATAAGCAGCGAGGAGGGGGGGAAGGAGGGAATAAGCAGCGAGGAGGGGGGGAAGGAGGGAATAAGCAGCGAGGAGGGGGGGAAGGAGGGAATAAGCAGCGAGGAGGGGGGGAAGGAGGGAATAAGCAGCGAGGAGGGGGGGAAGGAGGGAATAAGCAGCGAGGAGGGGGGAAGGAGGGAATAAGCAGCGAGGAGGGGGACGGGAAATGGAGGGAAGGGAAATGTGTGAAAGGGCAACGGGGGGAAGGGAAACGGGCGGGGGGGTGGCAAGTTGAGAGGGAGGTTAGCAGCGAGAACGAGGGGTGAGGGGGGGAAGGAGGGAATAAGCAGCGAGGAGGGGGGGAAGGAGGGAATAAGCAGCGAGGAGGGGGGGAAGGAGGGAATAAGCAGCGAGGAGGGGGGGAAGGAGGGAATAAGCAGCGAGGAGGGGGGGAAGGAGGGAATAAGCAGCGAGGAGGGGGGGAAGGAGGGAATAAGCAGCGAGGAGGGGGGGAAGGAGGGAATAAGCAGCGAGGAGGGGGGGAAGGAGGGAATAAGCAGCGAGGAGGGGGGAAGGAGGGAATAAGCAGCGAGGAGGGGGACGGGAAATGGAGGGAAGGGAAATGTGTGAAAGGGCAACGGGGGGAAGGGAAACGGGCGTGGGGGTGGCAATTTGAGAGGGAGGTTAGCAGCGAGAACGAGGGGTGAGGGGGGGAAGGAGGGAATAAGCAGCGAGGAGGGGGGGAAGGAGGGAATAAGCAGCGAGGAGGGGGGGAAGGAGGGAATAAGCAGCGAGGAGGGGGGGAAGGAGGGAATAAGCAGCGAGGAGGGGGGGAAGGAGGGAATAAGCAGCGAGGAGGGGGGGAAGGAGGGAATAAGCAGCGAGGAGGGGGGGAAGGAGGGAATAAGCAGCGAGGAGGGGGGGAAGGAGGGAATAAGCAGCGAGGAGGGGGGGAAGGAGGGAATAAGCAGCGAGGAGGGGGGAAGGAGGGAATAAGCAGCGAGGAGGGGGACGGGAAATGGAGGGAAGGGAAATGTGTGAAAGGGCAACGGGGGGAAGGGAAACGGGCGGGGGGGTGGAAATCGTGGGAGGGGAAACGGGGGGGAGGGAAACGGGGGGAAGGGCGACGGGGGGGAGGGAAACGGGGGGAGGGGAAACGTGGGGAAGGGAAACGGGGGGGAGGGAAACGGGGGGAGGGGAAACGGAGAGAAGGGAGATTGGGGGGACGGGAAGTGGGGGAGAGGGGAACGGTGGCAAGGGAAATGGGGGAAAAGGAAGTGGGGGGGCGGGAAATGGGGGGAATGGATATGGGGGGGAGGGAAACGGGAGAAGGGAAACGAGGGGATGACGGGCTGGAGGAGGAGAGGAAGGGCGTACAGAGGGGAGGAGGGGATGAGAGAGGACAGCGTGAACAGAGGAGGACTGCGTGGGGGCGGAGGACAGGGGGGAGAGAGGAGGACGGGGGGGAGAGAGGAGGACGGGGGGGAGAGAGGAGGACGGGGGGGAGAGAGGATGACAGGGGGGAGAGAGGATGACAGGGGGGAGAGAGGATGACAGGGGGGGAGAGAGGAGGACAGGGGGGAGAGAGGATGACAGGGGGGAGAGGGGAGGACAGGGGGGAGAGGGGAGGACAGGGGGGAGAGGGGAGGACAGGGGGGAGAGGGGAGGACAGGGGGGAGAGAGGAGGACGGGGGGAGAGAGGATGACAGGGGGGAGAGAGGAGGACAGGGAGGAGATAAAATGTGCTGAGGGCGGGGTTGGGAAGGAACATGGGGGTGAGGGACGGGAGGAGGTAGGCGGAGGTGCGACCTGGGGGGAAATGGGAGGTGCGACCTGGGGGGAAATGGGAGGTGCGACCTGGGGGGAAATGGGAGGTGCGACCTGGGGGGAAATGGGAGGTGCGACCTGGGGGGAAATGGGAGGTGCGACCTGGGGGGAAATGGGAGGTGCGACCTGGGGGGAATGGGAGGTGCGACCTGGGGGGAAATGGGAGGTGCGACCTGGGGGGAAATGGGAGGTGCGACCTGGGGGGAAATGGGAGGTGCGACCTGGGGGGAAATGGGAGGTGCGACCTGGGAAATTGAGAGGAGCGGCCTGGGGGGAAAGGGAGGTGCGACCTGGGGGGAAAGGGAGGTGCGACCTGGGGGGAAAGGGAGGTGCGACCTGGCGGGAAAGGGAGGTGCGACCTGGCGGGAAAGGGAGGTGCGACCCGGCGGGAAAGGGAGGTGCGACCTGGGGGACACGGAGGTGCGACCTGTGGGAAAGGGGACACGCGCATTCAGCGAAGAATGGAGGTGCGACCCTCGCGTTGAAACGAAGGTGCTGCCTGGGGAAAAAGGGAGGTGCGACCTGGGGGCCACGAGGTGCGACCCTAGCAGGGATCGCGGTCGCTGAGTGTGGTGGCGTGGGAAAGGCACTACTACACGCACACATAGCGCGAATAGCGATTGTGAGCGGGGTGGCGTGAAACCCGCAGTACGAGTGACGCTACTAGCGGGAATAGCGGCTCTTAGCGTGGTGACGTGACCCTAAACCCGCAAGCGGCCATTGCGGCTTAGCGTGGTGGCGTGAAGAATCCGCTACGCTCGCGCGCACCTGGCCGGAAGCGGGGATTTCGATTAGGGATGGCGTGAAACAGACGTTACGCGATACGCTGCTACTAGGAATAGCGGCTACTAGAGTGGCTGCGTGACACAAACCGAAGCACTACGCGCAACGGGCGAATTTCGTGGCAAGGGCGCGGTGGCGTGTAATATTCTGCTGCACTGCCTGCAGTTAGCTTCATTGCAGTCTAGAGCTGTATGGAGTAGGTTGCATACTCTGTATATTGGGCTTGGTTGTTTGAGTTGGGCGCAGGGTCTTCCGCAATTCCGCGGATTACTTTCCCCAGACAAACCCGCTGACGAAATTGTTTGTCATCGCCTTCGGTGCTTGAATTCATCGCACTGGTGTTTGAGGTCGAAGCTCAATTCGCTGTCGAATCATGTTATGCCAAAGGGTGTGCACTTAAATTAGACCCAGAAAATCCCTTTTAGAATGTAGACCGCAGCTTTAACGAAATGTTTGCGAATTCCATCGGCACAAGTTGAACCGCGAAACGTGGTCGCACAACGTTTTCCCGCCTTTTACTCAACGTGATTCAGCACAGCAGCACTAGGACTTGGTCGGTTTTGCTACAGAACCGGAACACGCGAGCAAACCTCCAAGAAGAATCAAGCAAAGCTGCCAAGGCTAAAACCCTAGGCTGCAACCCTACCAGACCTCCATCACTCAAGCCGCAGCGACGTTTTAGGCACTTTCCTCGCTACTTAAGAAGCTTCCTAAAACTCCTGAGAGCTAGTTCTGCCGTCACGGGGCGACTGCCGCAGTGCGCTTCGGCCCCAGCCCGCTTTTCGGGCCACATTCGACGTGTTAAAATAGTTTTTCAAGCATTAATGAAGCACAAGGTGTGCTGGAAGTAATAGTAGCTGGTGGGACGCTCGGAAGAGTGGTTATGTCGTCACGGTTGTGGCTCGTTGTAGCTTAGCATATGGAGCTTATAACGAGCGTCCCGGTTGTTTCAGGCGGTCACGTTTGACTGCCATGTCACTTGTAGTCATTTTTGCTTGCGAATCCTGCATCTGAATAATACGCAACCTTCGCAATGTAGATACTTCCGCATCTGAAGTTTAAATATTTGTAATGTATATATAACTTCTGGCTCATTCCCCTTCTCTCCCTTCTAGTTTACCCCGTTACAGAATGACTCGCTCGCTTCTCTTACAGCGCCTACAGGCGGTCGCCGACCAGCAGCCTCCCAGCCAGCCGCCCAGCAGACCGCCTGACCTGCCGGCGGAAGCCGCGCAAACGGCGGAGGCTGCCCGCCGTGCTGGCGGCCCCGCGGCATCAACGGCGCAACGAAGGGAAGCAGCCGCAGCCAGAAGGACTGCTGGGGGAGCGGGTGAAAGGGAAGGGCGAGCGGAGGAGCAGCGCGGTGGCGTGCGGTTGGAATCGGTTCTGGCCGCCAACCCCGTTGTCGACCGGCCTGCCCGGCCCGAGCCCGCCCTTCCCCCCTACGCCTTCCCCTCGCCCACCCCCCACTCTTCCGCCCTTGGTCTCCCCGTGCCCCCCCTGCACGCGAGCACGGGCACAGGCAGGGGAACAGGCGCGGGCGCAGGTACGGGCACAGGCGCGGGCAGAGGCGCGCGCAGAGGCGCGGGCACGGGCACAGGCATGGGGTTGGGCGTGCGGGTGGAGCAGGTGCGGAGAGGTAGCAGCCACGGGAGCGGCAGGGGCAGGGTGCGGGCGTTGTGGGACGACCAGCAGACAATAACACTTCTGAAGATCATGCGCGGCGTGTTGCGCGCTCAGGGCAGCGCCCTCCCCGGCAAGATCGAGGACTTGGGGGCGGTGCACCGCGAGTGGCTGCGGCGAGGATCCCTGCGGGGGTACCCCAGGTACTCGGAGGAGCAGCTGAGAATCCGATGCCGGGTGGTGCGCGGGTGGGTGAAGGATATTCAGGCCCTGCAGGCAATGCTGCCGCCTGGAGTCGAGTGGGACCCTGCCACTCAGTACTTTGATCCCGACCCCAAGGTGCGTTGGGGATTTATAACTGACCCTAAGTTGAGCTGTGGTTTGGCGGTGATCTCTACTTTGACCCTGACCCTAAGTTGAGATGATATGCCCGTTAACCCCAGCCACATGTTTTGTTGCGGTGGGCACTGGGATGCAATGTTTTTTCTTACATGGAATAGAACGTACAGAATCGAGAGCCTTTTACTCCTGGTATGCGTACACTGATTCAGTTCATTTGAGCTAGGCTTGTGTTGTGCGGACCTTTATCCTGTATGCACTGAAGCTCACCCTCCTCTGCTTCCACCTCACCAAAGCCCCATGCGCTGAAACCCACTCACCTTTACTCTCCCTTTCCTTGCTCGCTGTTCCTTACCCCATTTCCCCATCCCTCACCCCCACACTCTCCCCTCCCTGCATCTCCTCTCCTCTCTCCGCGCCATCTGCGCATCCTAACTCAGCCAAGGCAGCACCGATTGTGGCGGCACTTTCTGTGGTTCGTTTCCCTGCGATCACCACTCCTCCCCACTCCGCCCTCCCTACGTTCCCCCTTGCCTGCGTCAGCTGGGCATCATGCCGAAGCTGAGGCAGGACCCGCAGTGGCGGGGCTACAGCCGGTGGTGCAGCCACGTGGCGCCCTGGCTGCCCCTCGCCCTGCTCTCCACACACACGTGCCCTGCTGAGAACGTGCAAGGGGAGGTGCAGTTGGGGGAGGAGGAGGATGATTGGGAGGAGGAGGATGATGACTGGGAGGAGGAAGAGGGAGATGGAGGGGAACAGGGAGAGGAGGAGGAGGAAGAGGGAGACGATGGGGAGGAGGAGGATGATGAAGTGGTGGAGGTGCGGGCAGGAGGGATGGGGAATGGGGAGGCAGAGGGGGACGAATTTGAGGAGATGGAGGGGGGAGGGAGGGAGGTAGAAGTGGAGGAGGTGGAAGGGGGGGAGAGATGGAGCAATGCGGGGCGGCAGGGGGGTGGGACGGGGAGGCTTGAGAGGCGAGAAGGAGGCGGGGTGTGGAGTCGGAGGAGCAGAGGAGGAGGGGAGATGGGAGGGGTGAGTGGAGAGGGTTGGAGAGGTGGAGAGTGGAACGGTGATGAGTGGTGGGGAACGAGGAGGGGAAATGCGGGGCACCAGGCTGGGGAAGGGAGAGGTGTGAGGAGCAGAGGAGGGGGAGAGGGTGCGGGGGGGAGAGGGATTGGGAGTGATGGTGTTGGTGCTGCACAGGGGAATGGCGGGTTTGACCCTCCAGCTGACGCACCGCGGGCCAATGGCATGCGTCGTGCTGAGGTGGCACGAAACAATGTCACTTCTGCTGACGGTGCTCGTGCTGACGTGGCTCGTGCTGACGTGGCTGGTGCTGATGGGACAGGGGGTGCAAGTGCGGATGAGAGGGACGAGTACCCTGCGAGGCTGGCAGCGCGGATCGCTGGCATGGCGGTGAGAAGGAGGGAGCAAGGCGGCACAGAGAGGCTCGCGGTTGAGGGTGAGAGGGGAGGGGTTGGGGATGGAGGAGATGGAGGAGGGAATGCAAATGCATGGCAGGAGATTCGGGTTCAAGAGGGGCAGAATCGAGGGGGGAGGGGTGTGAAGCGGTCGAGACCTGTGTGGGTGCAGGTGAGGGAGAGGAAGCGGCAGCGGCGGGTGATGGAGAGTGTGGCGCGTGCCCTCACCACGTTCAGGAGCATGGCGGAGAAGGGGCAGCCCCACGTGCATAGAGGTGCGTGGTGTGATGGGATGGGTTGGGATGGGATGGGATGGGATGGGATGGGATGGGATGGGATGGGATGGGATGGGATGGGATGGGATGGGGTGGGGTGGGGTGTGATGGGATGGGGTGGGATGGGGTGGGGTGGGGTGGGGTGGTGGTGTGATCGGCTGGGGTCGGTCCGGGATGCGATGGAATGAAATACGATGCGATGCGCTGTGCTTCCTTATGATGCGATGCATTGTGATTTGATGTCATGTGATGTGATGTGATGTGAAGGCACACACGTGTACGGATATATAGTAAGCGTGTGCCTGAGTCGAACAATGAAATGGAGGATCCAAGAAGATCTGTGGGAGATCTGGTTTTAGGAATCACAACCAATAAGCACGAGCAGATAATGATCAACATGATGACGATGATAACGATGATGATAGTTATTGCAACAATACGTATAGCAATGACTACAGCAATCGTAATTGTAATAATAGTATCCTAACAACCCATGACCTCAAATTAAATCCCTGAGCTCATATTAAATCCCAATAACCCCATGCCACGCATCCAGCAACTCGCAAAGTTGTTGCCAGCTGTCCGAACTTGCGCAGCAGAGGCAATTAGATCAACGAATGTCATCGCTAAGTGCAATGTCGCCTGCCATTGCCGGCCGTCTACTTTCCAATCGGTAGAATTTGTGTTGCTCGACACCCAGAACCTTGCGCTGCTCATCGCATCAAAACTTCGACTTTGCTACAGTGGCGGTTCAAAGTCAACTACATGATTGCGCCCGCCAGTGTGCCTCTACTGTTACCCGCTTATTGGTACATCAACCGGTCGTTCCATATTAGCCTACTCCTGTCCATAAGCGAGCTTCCATGACAATGACCTCTCCTTCTAGGCGTGAGCAACCGACCCGACCCGATTTGGGCGGGCCAGGCAGGTACCGGTTCGGGTCGAGTTGACTCATACTAGGCCGAGGTTCCCAAAACCCTGGCCCGACCTGGCCTTGAAGGACTGGGTCAAGCGTGACGCGCCCCCAGATCGAGGCACAAAGGCTTGCCGATCTGCGTAGATCGGCTATTTCGCCTGCCGATCTTCGCAAACAAGCGATTTCGCATGCTGATCTGCACTGTTCAGCGATTTTCGCCAATCCATCTAATTGCGCCACTAACTTCGTCGGGCACTCCCTCCTCCCGGTCAAATTTGTTGTCTAGAAGATTTCAACCAATTTGCGGCCACTTACCACTTGTCACCGCACTGAATCTACAATACCAAACCCCCTCCGTCCCCTCCCCCTCCCCCCCCGCCGTACGCTTTCACAAATTTAGACATTCTGCGTAGCCCAGCGCTTTCGTTCAGCCCCCTCCACCCAAAGGTCGACTACGGCTGGTTTAGCTCCTAGACCCGACCCGATATCTAGATAAATGACCCGTTTCCAGGTTGGGCCAATATCGGGTCAAAACCCGACCCGTTTTCAGGCCGGGTCAATATCAGGTCAAAACCCGACCCGCCTGGCCCGATTTCGAGAATCGGGTATCAGGTCGACCCAACCAGGCCGGACCAGCGTTTGGAAAACCCTGGCCCGACCCGGGCTAAACCGGGTCGGTTCGGATCGTGATGCTTAAGCCTACCCCCTACATCCAAGCTCGTTGTCAAACTCGAGAAAATCATGAGTCATAAGTTTCGGAACTTGCAAGGCTCTCGACTGGTTGAGTTTCAGATACGCTAGAAGGACCATACGTCGATTGAATACAGGTGGGTGCCTTTGGGCAATATTGAGGGTTATCTCATCGTCTGGGAGTACTTCAGGAGCGTAAGGCAGTTGGGTGCCTTTGTGCTAGTACGTGTATGTACACCAGTCCTAGGCCGTTTTTCGCTCTCCACCAGCTTAGTGGCAAAAGACGCAAAGGGCCTGCTGCGTCCAGACGCAAAGACGCAGGACGCGCGTCCAGACGCAGGACGCACCCCTGGTTTTTTTTCGGGCTGACCCGGAAAAAAAAAATTCCCGAATCGCGAAATTTTCACAACTGGACCGTTGTGCACAACCACCACATGAAGGAAGCTGGTGCAGGGCCAAGTGGGGAAGTAAGGAAGGCAGGGGTAGTGAAGGGTAACATTCCCAACCCACCCCTTCCCGAGGGGTACAAGTTGGAGGAGGATGGGGAGGTGGAGGAGGACGAGGACGCGTTGTGCGTCGACGAATACAAGCGCCAGGAAGACATGGAGAAGGAGGCGGAGGAGAAGGCGAACAAGATGGAGGAGGATGCGGATGAGGAGGAGTAGATGGAGTGAACCGTTGCCATGTTGCTTCTTTGCTTGGATTATGCGTTACCTTGAGCGTGACCTTGAGATAATTGTTGACTATCTTGAATCTTGATTATGTTGGGAAAATTTTAAAGTTGGGGGAAAATTTCCATTGGATGTCTTGTATGCCACCCCCCCCCCCCCCCCCCTCTCAACCACTAAAACTTTTTTTTCGCCTGCCCGGGGGGTTTTTTTGCCCTGCCCGGGCATGCGTCTTTTGGTGCGTCCTAAAGGCTCACCTGCTGCGTCCTGCGTCTAAGACGCAGGACGCGTCTTTTGGCACTAAGTCCACCAGTCGCTAGTGTTAGTTTTTGTCAAATTACACATCGTTGAATAAGGTTGCGTTTGTTGACGGAGAATGGCCCCGCCCTCGCTTGGGTGACGCCGACTTCGCAGTCGGGTGTACGGAGCTGCTGCCAGCTGCAGTCAATGTCGACGCCAACTTGGGCGAGGAAGTCGACGGATTTGGTCGTCTTCCGCAGGACCACTGCAAAGCCGCAGACGAGTGGAAGGAGTTCGTCAACCTGAGGGCATTGACTTGCGGGTGCAGGGGACACTACCTGGTCGACTTAATAACCTGGTCGGCTAAGTTTTGCGGGGGTGCGCGGACGTCGCCCAGGAGGTTTTGGCGAAGTCGACCTGCGGTCGACGTGGCACATCTTTTGCAACCGCTCCGCTAGCACTTGGTCGACTTGGTACCTGCACAATGTTCGTGACGGTGCACAACGTGCGGAATTGTCGTTTTGCACCTCCGAAATAGGTGCGCGCACATGCTGGCCGCCTTCGGTGCAGCGTTGGCAGGTCGTCGACTTGCAACGTTGGCAAGACGCCTCCCAGCTGTGCTGGCACGGTGTCAACTTGCAGTGCTAGCATGCCGTCCCGTGCTGCGCTGGAGGTCGACCTGCCTGTGTGCTAGGTTGCTAGGCCAGTGATATCGTTGTTGTTGTCATCACCGATTCATTTTCATATCCAACTTTTGTTAGTTAAACTCTTGTCAATTCTCCCCGTGAATGCGCAAGTAGAGAGAACACAAACAAACGCTACAATCACTCGTACCACCAGTGCCTTTCCCATGTAGTCCAACTCTTGGTGTAGAGTGACTCTCCATAGCATTGACTAGCCTGAACTTTTCTGCCAATGCACAGCCAGCCTAGCTCACCTTCACGTGTTACCGTTGGTGTTCTTTGCTATTTATTGTTCGCTCATGCCTTTGCTCACATTGTACTATTTCCTTTATCCATTAGTGCAGTCCTCGTTCTCTCATTCTATTGCACACATAACAAGTAGTGAAAAAAATGAAAATTATGGTGATACTGATCACTACTCACTACCTCTGTACCTGCCTCTTCACCTGCAGACGCGGTAGCGGATAGTGTGTTCAAGTCGGTGCAGGACGTGCAGGCCCTCCCCTCTCTGACGGACGTGCAGCGCGTGGCGGCCATCGACGCCTTCCTGCAGCGCCCCCTCGACGCCCACGCCTTCCAGGCCATGAGCCCCGCCCTGCAGGCCCTCTTCGCCCGCCGCGCCCACGCCCAGGCCGTTGACCGGCAGCTCGCCGGCATGCAGGCCACTGCTGCTGCTGGGGGGAATGCCAGCTTGGTGGATCAGCAGCTTGCTGGGCTGTCAGGTGTGACTGCAGGTGGTGGGGTGGTTGGTGGGAGAGGGGGGACGGGGGGATTGGGTGGGGGTGTGGGGGGAATGGGTGCTGGGGGAGTGGGAATGGGAGAGGCTGGGGTGGGGGCGACGGGGTTGGGGGCAACTGGAGTGAGGGGGACGGGAACAGCGGGGGTTAGAAGAGCAGGGGTGGGATCAACAAGGGTGGCTATGGGGGTTGCAGCGATGGGCGGGACACGAACAGGGGGAACGAGGATGGGGGAAACGCGTGCGGGGGTAGTGGGAATGGCGGGAACGCGGATGGGGGAATCGGGAATGGGGGGGACGCGGATGGGAGAAACAGGTTTCGGTTGGAGGGGATTGGGGACGGTTGGGCAAACGGGGGCAGTGGGAGAGATGGCAGGAGGTGGGGGTGGGGGTGGGGGTGGGGGTGTGGGAATGGCAGCAGCATCAGCAGCAGCCTCAGCAGGAGGAGCGAGGGGTTTACAAGGTGTGGGGGAGGGTGGAGGAGGAGGAAGACGGGTTGGTCGAAGAGGAGGGGTAGGAGGGGCAGGAGGAGCAGGAGCAGGTGGGTTGGGCGGTACAGGTGGGATGGGCACAGCAGAGGCGGGTAGCATGGCAGGCAGCATGGCGGGACTGGAGCTGCTGGGGCATCGCGTGCAGGAGTTGGTGCGAGAGAGCCTAGGAGCAGTCAATGTTGGTCAACACATGGCCAGCACAGGTCAACATGCAGTCAACGCCAGTCAACAGATGGCAAGCACTGGTCAACATGCAGTCAATGCTGGTCAAGGGGGGGTGGTTGACGTTCCAGTGGTGGTCAATGGGATTCAATGCGAGTGCCCCGAGTGTGTGGCTGTTAGAATGTCGGTCAGAATGCGTCAAGGCACAGTCAACGCGAGTCAAGATGCAGTCAATGTGAGTCAACCAGTGCTCAATGCAGGTCCAGCACTGGTCAACGCGGGTCAAGCAGCTGTCAACGTGAGTCAACCAGTGGTCAATGCGGATCCAAGTAGGGGAGCATCAGCGAATCAGGTGGAGACAGCTGTCGGCCAGCCAGGGTTGGGTGCAGGTCGTGTGGGAGGAGCTGCTGTGCTACAGACAAGAAATGCTGGTCAAGCACCAGTCCACGCTGGTCAAGCACCAGTCAACGCTGGTCAAATACCAGTCAATGTTGGTCAAGCACCAGTTAACGCTGGTCAAGTACCAGTCAACGCTGGTCAAGCACCAGTCAACGCTGGTCAAGCAACAGTGAATGCAGGAGGGGGGGCAGTGGGTGTGGGTCAAGGCAGAGCGGGAAGGGTAGGAGGGGGAGGCGGGGGGGGGAGGAGGAGGGGAAGGAGGGGTTTGGAGGGAAGCAGCAATCGTGGGGCTTCCATTGGTGGAGCGGCTGCTGCAGGGCCAGGCGAGGGAAAGAAGCAGTGCTGTGACGAGGGGACAGGGGGGGGACAGCCAGCAGAGGGGAGAACAGGGAGGAGAGCAAGGGGGAGAGGCGAGAGGGGAGCAAGGAGGGGAGCAAGGAGGGGAGCAAGGAGGAAGGCAGAGGGTGGGGACGGTGAGTGTGCCGGGGGGCAGGGGCAGCGGAGGGGGGGTGTTCACGCTGTCGCACCGCTGTGTGGCGGATGGGCCGGCAGGGCAGTGCAGCCTGTGCAGCATCGTGGCTGACCTCGTCAAAGAGCTGGGGGGAGGCGCTGCTGGGGGAGGCGCTGCTGGGGGAGGCGCTGCTGGGGGAGGCGCTGCAGGGGGAGGGGGTGCTGCTGGGGGAGGGGGTGCTGCTGACCTCGTCAGAGAGCTGGGGGCGCCTGGCGATGGGCGGGGGCTGTGCAAGGAGCTGGGCGCACCTGACAACGTGACGCGTGGTGGGGGCGAGGTGGGGAGTGATGAGAGAGAGGTGCGCACAGGGAGCGAGGTGCGCACAGGGAGCGAGGTGCGCACAGGGAGCGAGGTGCGCACAGGGAGCGAGGTGCGCACAGGGAGCGAGGTGCGCACAGGGAGCGAGGTGCGCACAGGGAGCGAGGTGCGCACAGGGAGCGAGGTGCGCACAGGGAGCGAGGTGCGCACAGGGAGCGAGGTGCGCACAGGGAGCGAGGTGCGCACAGGGAGCGAGGTGCGCACAGGGAGCGAGGTGCGCACAGGGAGCGAGGTGCGCACAGGGAGCGAGGTGCGCACAGGGAGCGAGGTGCGCACAGGGAGCGAGGTGCGCACAGGGAGCGAGGTGCGCACAGGGAGCGAGGTGCGCACAGGGAGCGAGGTGCGCACAGGGAGCGAGGTGCGCACAGGGAGCGAGGTGCGCACAGGGAGCGAGGTGCGCACAGGGAGCGAGGTGCGCACAGGGAGCGAGGTGCGCACAGGGAGCGAGGTGCGCACAGGGAGCGAGGTGCGCACAGGGAGCGAGGTGCGCACAGGGAGCGAGGTGCGCACAGGGAGCGAGGTGCGCACAGGGAGCGAGGTGCGCACAGGGAGCGAGGTGCGCACAGGGAGCGAGGTGCGCACAGGGAGCGAGGTGCGCACAGGGAGCGAGGTGCGCACAGGGAGCGAGGTGCGCACAGGGAGCGAGGTGCGCACAGGGAGCGAGGTGCGCACAGGGAGCGAGGTGCGCACAGGGAGCGAGGTGCGCACAGGGAGCGAGGTGCGCACAGGGAGCGAGGTGCGCACAGGGAGCGGTCAACGCAGGTCAAGGGACGGTCAATGCTAGTCAAGGGGTGGGTATGAATGGAGCGGAAGAGTTGAACCTTTCAGGCCGGAATGTGAGTGCCGGATGGGACATTCCTGGGGACGAGGCGTTGAGTGAGGGGACAGGAATCGTATGTGTGAGGGACGATGGAGTTATTGTGTTCAAGGGGGGAGATTTGAGTATGGAGGAAGGAGGCACTTCTGAGGGTGAAGGGGATGTTACTCTGGGGGGAGGGGATGTGCCTCTGGGGGAAGGGGAAGTGGCTATGGGGGAAGAGGATGTGCCTATGGGGGAAGAGGATGTGCCTATGCGGGAAGAGGATGCGACTGTGAGGGGAGAGGACTCCAGTGGTAAGGAGGGAGAGACACATGGGAAGGAAGGGGAGACGAATGGGAAGGAGGTAGAGGCGAATGGGAAGGAAGGAGAGACGAATGGGAAAGAGGGGGGGACAAGAGGGAAGGTTGGGGAGACGGGTGGGAAGGCGAGAGAGGCGAGTGGGGAGGAGGGAGAGAAGAGTGGGGAGGAGGGCGAGACGTGTGGGACGGAGGGAGAGACGAGTGGGAAGGAGGGAGAGACGAGTGGGAAGGAGGGAGAGACAAGCAGGAAGGAGGGAGACACGAGTGGGAAGGAGGGGGGTACGAGTGGGAAGGAGGGAGAGACGAGTGGGAAGGACGGAGATTCGAGTGGGAAGGATGGAGAGACGAGTGGGAAGGAGGGAGAGAGGAGTGGGAAGGAGGGAGAGACGAGTGGGAATGAGGGAGAGACGAGTGGGAAGGAGGGAGATACCAGTGGGAAGGAGGGAGAGACGAGTGGGAAGGAGGGAGAGACGAGTGGGAAGGAGGGAGAGACGAGTGGGAAGGAGGGAGAGACGAGTGGGAAGGAGGGAGAGACGAGTGGGAAGGAGGGAGAGACGAGTGTGAAGGAGGGAGAGACGAGTGGGAAGGAGGGAGAGACGAGTGGGAAGGAGGGGGTGAAGGCCTTGGGAATAAGCGATATGACCGCATAGGACGGTGAAAATGTAGGACGCACAAAAAGAGACAAGCAAGTAGAAAGTGAATGAGACAAGGAAGAATGCATGAGTCCAGGGGCAGTAGAGGTGCAAGTGGTTGCATTGGCAGGCTGTGAAGACCAGCCAGGTGCTGATGATGGTCAACGGGGGGAATGATACTGGTGGCGTGGCAGTCAACGACAGTCGAGAACCAGTAATTGGTGGTGGAAGTGTAGAGGGTGCAAGGCAAACAGTGAGGGTCAATCTCTAGCGGGCAAGGGCCAGCGTGTTGTGAGTGATGGTCACAAGGGTTTAGGAGGCCATCCAAGTTGGGCAGTTGAGGGTGGAGGGGGAGGGAGTGTCAAAACTAATCTATATGTCTGTAGGTTGTAGTGGGGTAGCACATATAGAGTACAACACTTTTAGGGTTTGCTTCTTGTACTTGCTTTGTTGACTAGTGACATCATTCCTGTCTCATAGATTCTAACATGGTATACAGAGAAGTAGGTCCGTAGGACCGTCCTTTTTTTTCCGGGCCCACCATCCACTGCGGTTACCCTGCTACCTCACGCCTTGCCCTGCGTCGCGCTGCTCGCGCGCGCCCTGCCATGCCCTGTCCTGCACTGTGCCGCTGCCTGCAGCCCGCACGTCGCCCGCCTGTAGCCCGCGCGGCCCGCGCCTTGCCTCTGCCCGCGCGTCGCCCGCTTGCAGCCCGCGCGTCGCCCGCCTGCAGCCCGCGCGTCGCCCGCCTGCAGCCCGCGCGTCACCCACCTGCAGCCCGCGCGGCCCGCGCCCTGCCTCTGCCTGCCCGCGCGCTGCCCCTGCAGGCCTGTACGGCCCGCGCGCTGCCCTTGCCGCCCGCGCGCCGCCTTCGCCTGCTCGCTCGCGGCCCCTGCCGGCCCGTGCGCCGCCCGCCTGCAGCCTGCGCGGCCCGCGCGCTGCCACCGCGGCCCGCGCGCCGCCTTTAGTCGCCCGCGCGCAGCCCCTGCCGGCCCACGCGCTGCCTTTGCCCGCCCGCGCGCAGCTTCTACTGGCCCGCACGCCGCCTGTGCCCGCCCGCGTCCAGTCACTGCCGGCCAGTGCGCCGCCTTTGCCCGCCTGCGCGCCGCCATTGCCGCCCGCACGCCGCCTCTGCCTGCCAGCGCGCCACCTCTGCTGCCTACGTGCCGTCTCTGCTGCCTGAGCGCCGCCTCTACATGCCTGTGCCCCGAGCTGCAGTCATGGCTACACTAAATGTCCTTACGTTCGACCCTGACGGCCACCCGATAGAGTTCGCCACGTGGCTCGATGACCTGCAACTGTACCTAATGACCGATGCTAAAGACGGCGTTTCCCTATTTGATCACGCGTCTGGCTCCTCAGTTGTCCCCTCCTGACACAGCTGACAGCCTCTCTCGCTCATAGTGGCAGACTCGTGACGCAGCTGCTCGCTAGCTATTTGCAACCATCTTCCGTTAGCTGAACGTGCTCACTTCGGCCAGCACAAGACCGCTAAGGACCTGTACACCGCTGTAGTCGCTCGCTACTCTTCCCCTGCCACTGCTGCTCTCAGCTGCCTTATTCTGCCCTACATGTTCCCAGAGCTGTCCTCCTTTGCCACATTTGAGGACCTCATCTCCCACCTTCGCGCTAGTGATGTTCGCTACCGTGCCGCTCTCTCTGCAGAGTTCTTAGCCGCGAACCCGCCCCCTGATGTACATCACGCTCTACTTCCTAGTCACCCGCCTCCCTGACTCCCTTCGTACGGCCAGGGACCACTTTCTAGTGCTTAACCCTACCGCCCTCACTGTCGACGACTTCGAGAAGCACCTTCTTGAAGCAGAGAAAAGCATTGTCGCTGTAGGTGCTGCTCGTGGCACTCCTCGCATTCCCCTCTTTGAGGGGTGTTCCTCCTCCCACCTTGCCCCCTCCTATGCTTCCGCTGCTGCTGTTGACTTCCTTGGTGCAGAGAAGGTCGGCGCTGCTTCTGCTCCTAGTGGGAAGCGCCGCAGCGGCAAGGGTAGGGGCGGCAGGAGTGGTGGAGGTGGCGGCGTGGGGGCGGTGGTGGAGGCGACGGGGGTGGTGGAGGTGGCGGAGGTGGCGGTGCGAGTGGTGGCGGGGGTGGAGGCGTCGGTGGCGGCGGTAGCGGTAGTAGTGGGAGTGGAGGCTGCGGAGGCGGCGACAGTGGGAGCGGTGGCGGCAGCTGGAGCGGTGGCGGCAGCAGTGGTGGCGGTCGGGGTGGAGCCTTTCAGAGGGTAGGCTTTGGTGGTGGCTAGAGGAGGCAGCAGCAGGAGCGTCTGCGCGAGACCCTTAGGGCGTGTGTGAATCTAATTGCAGTTCGAAAATGGGATCGAACCTAGTGTGGTAACCAATTTCGAGCATGTTCGCCAACGCTTTCGCCAACGCCGTGTTTACTTTGTCACGCACGAAACTCGAACCCCAAAAAGTGAACAAGATTCGAGTGTGGGAGCAAACGTGGTTTTGCACGTTGTAGTGAACGTGTGTGGTTTCAGGCACGTACGCGGAATGTGCGACACTCGCAACAAATTCGTGCGATTCGTTGACGTGTCGCGCTGTCAAGATTTCGATACTGGGTAACCTACGCACCCTAGAAGCGGTTCGGTTCCCCCCTACAGGCTCGAACTTGCAGATTCGCACTTGCGCGTGCGGTTGTGAGTTTACAACTTTTGACACTTGCGGTTCGAACCTTGCAAACACTCAAAATCGAGTCAGGTTCGCTTAGTGTTCACTTGCTACAATTGAGTCAAAAACCTAAACTTAAGGTAAAAACTAGATTCACACACGCCCTTACACCCCAGCAGCTTCGTGGCTGGTATGCTCAGCGTGGGGCGTCTGGTGGTGTTGTCCGCTGCCCGTATATCATTCGCACAGGTTCCCACACTGGTCAGCCCTGCGGGAAGTTTCACACCGAGCACTGCTGCTTCTCTCGTCTTGATGATGCCTGGCGCACACAGTTTCCTGATGCACCTGAGCTCCCCCGCTGGGCAGACTTGCTTAAGCGCGATGTAGATATCTTGACTCTTGACTATGATGCTATTCTTGCTGCCATGTATGCATTGTCTGTTAGTGCTGAGGGTGACTGTTACCTCTGTGTGCCACCCGACCCTGGTATAGAGGCTGCTGCTCTAAGTGCTAGTGAGTCTGCTCTCTCTGGTACTGCGCCTGCTGAGGCCTTGCACACTTTCACGCTTGACTCAGGTGCTTCTTGCTGCTTCTTTCGCGACAGTACCACTGTCACACCAGTCCCCACACCTGTTGAGGTCTCTCTGGCTTACACCTCAGGGGGCCCAGTTCTTGCTCGTTCCACCACTGTTCTCACGTGTCCGGCGGCTCCGTCTGGCTCGCTGTCAGGTCTTCACCTCCCCTCGTTCTCGACGAACTTGGTGAGCAGCGCCGTCCTCCGGTATGCATAGGTTGATAACTTTACACGTGGAGGGCAGCGTGTGGCGATCTGTACGTGCTCCCGGACTGGCCGTCACCTAGCCACGTTCACCCGTCGGCCTGGGTTGAGCCTGTACACACTGACTACTGAGCCTCCTCAGGTAGCTGCGTCTGGTCAGGTGTCCGCGTCGGGTCAGGTAGCCACCCCTTGCTTGTGCCGCCACCTCTCGCACAAGACTCTCCTATGGCACCACCGCCTTGGTCACCACTCCCAACCACGCCTCCGTGGCATGCACTCCCATCTCCTTGTCTCTGGTCTTCCCAGGTCTCTGCCCCCCCTCCCGCGCTCGCCTGCCCTGCCCTGTCTTCCCTGCGTCGAGGGGCGGCAGTGCGCCACTCCCCACTCCTCCTCGTTCCCTCTGATAGAGGCTCCCTTGCAGACTCTCCACATGAACTTGTGGGGCCCAGCCCGCGTCCAGGGACACGGCCACGAGCGGTTCCAGGGCCTGATGTCTTGATCCCTTGGATCCGCATTGTCCGTCTCCAGCTCCGCAAGCGGTTCCACCAAGACCTTCCTGTCCTGCGTCTGCACTCTGACCGAGGTGGTGAGTTCTCCTCCGACCTCTTGTGGGACTTCTGTCAGCAGGAGGGCATCACCTAGTCGTTCACGCTTCCGGCCTCTCCGCAGCAGAATGGGCTTGCTGAGCGCCACATTGGCTTAGTCATGGAGGTCGCTCGTACCTCCATGATCCATGCGGCTGCCCCCCATTTTCTGTGGCTGTTTGCGGTCCGCTACACTGCGCATCAGCTCAACCTTTGGCCCCGTGTCTCCTTGCCGGAGACCTCGCCCACACTGCGTTGGACGGGGAAGGTTGGCGATGCGTCGGTGTTCCGGGTCTTGGGTTCTCGTGCCTTCGTCCATGATACCTCCGCGGACAAGCTCTCCGCCCGCGCCGTTCCCTGTGTCTTCCTTTGTTTTCCCCCTGACGCGCCTGGCTGGCAGTTTTACCACCCCACCTCGCGCCATGTTCTGTCCTCTCAGGACGCCACGTTTGACCCCCTTTTACCATCTCTTCCCCTACCGCACTGCCCCTCCCCCTCCCCCGCTGCTCTTCCTTGCTCCAGGTCCCCCTCCGGTAGACCCCCTCCCCCCTCAGGGTCCTGCTTCTTCAGGTGTGTCTCAAGTAGACCCACTCCCCTTAGTTGAGCCTGTCAAGATCACTGGTGACTCTGGTGCTGCTGGGGGTGCTGAGCCTGCGGGTGCTGAGCCTGTGCGCGAGGAGCCTAGGGGTGCTGAGCCTTGGGGTGCTGAGCCTGAGCGTGTGGAGCCTGGGGGTGTGGAGCCTGCGAGTGCGGAGCCTGAGCGTGTGGAGCCTGGGGTGTGGAGTCAGCGAGTGCGGAGCCTGGGGGTGCTGAGCCTGCGAGTGCGGAGCCTGGAGTTGCTGAGGCTGGAGGTGCTGGAGGTACTTCTTGTTCTGGAGGTGCTCGTACTGGAGGTACTGGAGCAGCCGGAGCTGGTGGTACTATCGGTGCTGGTGGTGCTTGTGGAGCTGGCGCTGGGGGTTTTGGAGGTGCTCTCTCGCCGCAGCAGCTACGTGAGTGGTACACTCAGCAGAGCCGCCTTCGGAGTGGCGCTG